CCCATAAAGTCTTACATATGCATGAAAAGATGTATTTCACTTCTTAAAAGTTAAGATATCAGTAGTTTTCATCCGATGAAAGATTTTATTTGTGCGGTATATCTGTAAAAAGTAAAGTTAAGGTGTTAGATAGATATATATATATATATATCTCAATAATACTAGGATTACTAACTTTAACAAGTGTAATATATCTTTTCAAGCATAGGTTAAGGGCTATAATGTAAAAATGAAAGTTAGGGTGTTATATATATAAATACCTAAAGATTGTGTGGTATGCATGTAAAGCGCTCTAGTTTTTATGTAAAGATTGTGTGCTGTATTTGTAAATATTAATGTTTAAGTATTAGTTATGCAAAAATATAAGAATTATGAGGTGTATATGTAATAAGATACTGTCATATAAATTTATTTGCAAATCCTTTGTTAGTTTTTCATGAAAATGGTCATGTCTCTTCCCAATAGACACCGTATTATTTCGCTTTAATTAATTAATTAAATTATTCTAAATGAATGGTCATGTCTCTTCTCAAAAGACATCGTATTCTTTCGCTTTAATTAATTAATTAAATTATCTTAAATTCTATTGATCAATAATCACCATGATGGATAGTGGTTATTAATGGATAATTAAGAGAAATGTTGTGTTTCTTCCCAAGAGACTTATTTTTTCTCTTATAAATAAGAGAAGGGTCATCTATCTCCCAAGAAGATGACATGTATCTTCTCTTCATTGGAAAGTACAGAAAGAAATAAAGATTGGAGAGAGAAATTTTATCTCTTCAAATTGAATTTTACGATCATGAATACAGGTACGTAGGGTTTATGTAATTTAATATGACGATGGTGCATGGATGTATGTGAAAATCTTAAATTCAAAGATCTTGATCATTATCAAGAGTAATGAATTATTGTCCTAACGTTGCACGAGTATTCAACACACACTCAGAAAAAAAAGAAAATAACATGTGATGACACCAGAAGTTTTTACGTGGAAAACCCGTAAAGGGAAAAAACCACGGGGTCTGACCCAGTTATAAAAACCCATTATAGGTTGATGATTGCAGAGATCCTTTGTCTCACAGATGGGAAATGATTACTAGCTTTTCAAGTTATTAAGTCGGCCGACGACGTCTAGTCAGCGGTGGTCGATGGAGATCAGCGGTGGTCGACAGTAGTCAATGACAATCGATGACGGTTGATAGTGGTAGACGGAGGTCAGCGGTGGTTGACGGCAGTCGATGATGGTTGAGTGGTCGACGGAGGTCATCGGTGATCGGCGTTGGTCGAAAGAGGTTGGCAGTAGTTGCCGACGGTATGTGGTGGTTGACGGTGGTCGGTGGTGGTCGACGGAGGTTGACGATGACAGGGATGATGTTGAACTTGAGCTTTTTCTCAAAGCCTCAAGTTCTCTTTCAAGCCTCCTTCCCTCATGTGAGGAGTGTGGCTCTATTTATAATGTTCTGGTTTAATTAATGCATGAATATGAACTATTTTGATCGGACGGTCCGAAGAGCTTCCCCGATCGGATGGCGTTTAATGGACCTTTGGGTGCCTTAACGATGTCAGAATTGAGCAATCTTGGGCTCGTTGGATTCATCTAGTCGAAACACTCGATTTGACTATAAACTCGTTGAATTTAACATTCGTTTAATCTTTCAAATGTGTCTGAAAATCTTCCAAGAATGATTTAATATCTTGATCTGGGCTTGATTTGACTCCAATTGGACTAACATTGATATTATTGGGTTCTTCTCATCGAGTCAGTCAGTTTGACTATAAGTTTACTGAAATCGGAGGTCTGGATGACTTTTTATCAAGATTTGAATATTTATTACACAAAATATTACCTCGAGATTCGTGTCGGATGATGAAAATTTGTTGGTGGCATATCAATATACATGCAAGTTATAGGTGAAAATTTATTCATTAAAAAAAGGGGGTGTCTACAACTAACACACATTTTTTATGTATTTACATATCGAAACTAAATTTTCATATTTATAAGCATAAAAATCAAATCTTTAAGAGCAAATAAAAAATATTATAAATAATTACTATTTTAAAAAGTGAAATATACCTTTTCATGCATCATTTTATGGTCAAGTCTTATGTATTTACATTCACGTTACCTGAGCTTCAATTTTCCATACACGTGCCATCTTACCTATACAACAACAACAACAACAAAGCCTTAATCCCACTACGTAGGGTCGGCTACATGAATCCTTTTTCTCCATTGCATCCTATTTAGTGTCATATTTTCATTTAGTTCTAGTAAATTAAGATCATTTTTAATACAATAAGCCCAAGTTTTCCTAAGTCTACCTCTGAAACACAAGTCGAATTTAAAACATCTACTCTCCTAATTGGATCATCTAATGGTCGACGTTTAATATGACCAAACCATCTAAGACGACTTTCTCTAATTTTGTCTATCACAGGAGCTACACCAACCCTATCACGAATATATTCATTCCGCATTTTGTCTCTAAGTGTAAAGCCACTCATCCACCTAATCATTCTCATCTCGGCAACACTTAACTTATTATTATGCTTCTCTTTTAAAGGCCAACATTCAGCGCCATAGAGCATTGCAAGTCTCTTTTAACATGCCATCTTACCTATGCATAAAAAATTGTACTTCACCTTTTACAAGTTAAAATGGTGATATTTTTTGTGAGATACAAAAGATTTGGGAGGTATAAATATAAAAAATTAAGTTGACACATTAGATATGTAAATATGTAAGAAATCAATGGTGTGTATGTAAATGTTAGATAGATATATATATATATATATATATATTATATTATATATTGATAGGCCATCAAGAAGTTTTAGTTATTTGATACGAATATCGAGAGGTGACAGGAATCTCGAGGTAATTTTCTTGGCAAGAAACTTTCAAAAATGCAACTAAAAATCATCTAGGACTCTGATTTCAGCAAATTTAATCCAACTAACCAGCTCGAAGAGAGTCAAGAGACACATAATAGCACCAAAATATTGGTCTAATCTAAGTAAAATCAAGCCGAGATCTGTTCAATAAGCTATTTTTGAAAGATTATAGTATTTAATTTGAATGTCAAACGGATTTCAAATCTGACATGTTTATAGTTGAATTGAGTTTCAAAATGAGACAAATCGTTCAATTCGAACATCGCTAAATGTCCACATAACGCCGTTTGATTGTGGGAATCTCTTTGCGTTGTTCGAAAGAGTAGTTTGCCTTCTTTTCTTATTTGCAGGGCTATCTTTCCGAGACTCTATAAATAGAACCAATTGTATTCATGAAAGGGAACGTAGATCTTGAACAGGAGGAAGCCTGAGACTTGGAGGAGGTGCTGAGGTCCAATATTCTACACCAAAGATCCAACGAATGCTACCTGTGCCTGCCACCGCCGCCCACTATTAACCACTGTTCGCCGACCCCCATCGACCTCTGTCTATCACCCCCTTGCTCGTTACAACAAAGCCCCTTTGCATAATCACAAAGCGCACTGTGGAATCTTAGCATACGCTGCAGAGCAACGAAACACCCTACAGAGCAGTACCACAACGCACAACGAAGACGGTGTAACAATGCACTTCTGATACAATACAACGACACCCCAAAGATGGTGCTTCACACACATCAATATGATGTAACAACGTGCCCCACATACGGATGTCGTCACGGCTCCCCACTTCAGCCTATGTGACCAACTATGACTCACGTGGCTCACAACTCTTGCAGTTTTTTAATATGATCTCTGTGGCCAACTGATGCTCATGAAGCAATTATTTACTACCCACAAGCCAAATAATACCATAGCTTTCAATCACAACCTCTACAACAAACTGGAGTTACAACCACCATCTACAACATTCAAAAGTAATTACTTCATAAAAATCGAATACAAACTTCGCTGCTCGTTACGACTACTAACGCTAAAGCATCATTGTATACTTGTACATTGAATTTTCATGCAATGCTAAGAAGCTAAATAATCACTCTACCGACGTGAATCTTCCAACATGTATCATTAATTATTTATATTTATAACACTTTGACAACAGCCTGATCTCATAAACTTATGCATGAAAATTTATATCTTATTTTTAAAATTTATTAATAGTGATATTTTTTATTGTAACATCAAAGATTTGCCTGTTGTGCACATGACTATCAAAGTATAGATGCAAGATGTGTAGAGAAAAAAATGAATTGTATGGTATAAATGTAAAAGCCACTGCATTATACGTGTAAAAAAAGAGGAGTTAGAGGTTATTAAATTAAATTCTAAATCCAAATGTGTCCCATTTTTTTGAATTATATATATAATTTTATCCTTCCCAACCCTAACCCTAAATCCTCACAATTATTTTCATTAATCAAATCTTTAATGACCACCATTATTGCACCCATTACATTATAATCAATAATTAATTAAGAATAACAAAACTACATTAAGTTGGGACTATAATAGAAATTTGAGTATTTTTAATGAATTAAAAAATTAAGTTTAAAAATTAAAATAGTGCTTAAATTTTCTTATAAAATTATTATAAAATAATTTTACAAAATTTAAACAAACAAGCAATTAAATAAATTTAAAATTAACATATAGCTATCTTAAACCAACTTAATAAGATTAAATATAATTTGTAAGCAATGTTGAATAAAAAAATTAAAAAAATATATATTAATAAATTAATTCAAGAAAATAAAAAATAAGAACAAATTTCATTAAGTTAGGATGAACATTCACTAATAACAAATATATTATTTAAAATAAATAAGGATTTTTATGTATTTACATATCTAACAAAGTTTGATATTTACACTTACAACACCCTTGTATCATTAACCACATGAAAAGGTGTATGTGACATATTCATTGCAATCTATGTAAGAATTGAAGTTTAGGTGTTAGGTGTTAGATATGCAAATATGCAAATACATAGAAATTGAGTGATATGTATGCAAATCTTCCAATAATCAAATACAACATAACCTGCACTAAGTTGATATTTAAGATATGGTATCTATGCTTATTAAATCTCATCAGAAAAGGAAGAATCCGAAAGAAATAACAGTGATAATATCAACTACATATGCACATTATTAACATAAGAGAAACTTTATACAATGCACAATGCATCAAATGTTTAAAATGTTTGCAGACATACCATGCAGGCGCTTCTGGTTCTCAGGCAGAAGAATTTGGAACAGAGCTCTGTTTGTCTGTAATCTGAGTGTGCAAAAACTGCAGCACAGAGAGGCGCTGCAAAGGATAAATTTGCAAATTTGCAATTTCAGCAGAAATATTTGAGCTGAAAAGATGAGAAAGAAGACATGATATGAAGTTACCCGTTGCTCTAAAACAGCATCATTGGAATTCAATTTTAATGATTCGAGGCGGTGTATCGCTTCCTGAAATCCTTTGATTGCAGCATCTTCGTTGCGTAAACTCCGGTTCACATCGGCAACTTTCGCGAGGGAAACCGCGAAATCGACAATCTGGATGAAATCTATGATCAGCACGTCGAAGAAAATGCGAGAAACAATTTAGGAAGATTTACATATGTAACACCCACAAAGATGAAAAGAAAATTTTCAGAAACTAAACTTTTTTGGAGCCTATCCTGAATTCAAATGTGGCTATTATGTCCGGCTTGATTTTAAGTAGGTGAAATCTGTGATTTTTTTTTTTAAATTTCATTTCATTCATTGCATAATTACTACTCAAAGTTCGCCTTTGTATTTTGATTGACGGGCCATTTACATAAATACCACCAAATTCTTATGTATTTACATATCTAACATCTAATCTTTGCATTTTACATTTAGACCACCGAATCTTCCAAGTTGATATCTTTGTGACCAGGCTCAAGAATTCTCTAACTGGATCATAACCCTTACCTAAGACTGCAAACACACACAATCTATACAAACAACCCCCAGCTCACAATTCCTAAGAGACTGCCCGCTGCGAACCAAACCCGTCCGTGCATAGTTGTGTGTGCACCGTCACACCTATCCGCACCCACCATGCTCACACGTGCATCCCTATGCTAGCTCATTTGCCCCAAATTCACAACCTTCATTCTCGTGATGTGATCGCGAACACCATCTTCATGCCATTTCCCATCAAAGGTCGTGTTCAAGGCCTGCCGATGACTCGCATGCTCCTCACCACATCATGATCCCAAATGGCTATATCCTAATTAACATATTATTCATCTAAGCATTCTATCGAACTTCTAATTTCCAGATGCAAGCTCCTTCGCACTTCACACGCTTTAAACCTATGCATGTAGAGGTGTATTTCACTTTTAAAAAGTAGTATATAGTGCTATTTTGATGCAATATTAAAGATTCAAGTGTTACGTGTGTAAATATGAAAGTTTAGGTGTGAGATACGTAAATAAATTAGAATTGTTTGCTATGGATGTAAGTGCCCCAAACAATTATAATATATCCTAAGGTAACTAAGTACCTCCCCTGAGCTATCAAAATCTTTACTTCTTCCCAAATGTTCAAGGAAATTATTAAATCTAATATTCAAATCAATCTAATAGAAAAATGGGGGCAAAAACAAAAAGCCAAAACTGTCGCTAGAGTTAATGGGTACTGGAATTAAACTTAACTTCATAGTCCTGGGTAAGAACCAAGACCAAATTTCTAGAGATTGAGAAGAGTGATACAATGCAGGGATTTTTACATAAATACCACCCAATTCTTAAATATTCTTATATCTAACACCTAAACTTTACTTTTTTTTACATTTACACCACTCAAACTTTCGATACACCATCAAAAGTACCACTATTTAAACTTTTAAAATATGAAGAATACCTTTTCTTGTACAGTTGAAAAACGGGCAGAATATATGTAAATAGATAAGAATTGAGTGGTATGTATGTAAAGCTTCCATAAATGTATAGGAAATGTGGCCTATTTAGAATACAAGAACTTAGAAATATAATATGCAAAACCATAATTCAAGGCTAATACTTCATTTATTAAAATTTCTCAAGGTTAAGATCGAAACATTCGAGTTCACAAACCTGGGACGACACGTTGGACTTCTCTTTAATTGCATCACGACGAACATCCAAAGCACGAGTATAGTAAGTTCTCGCAGATTCAAGATCACCATCATAGTACCTCAGATCACCTATTTTGTTTAAGGAAACAGAAAGAGTGTGCACTAGCTGCAAAGGTATCAAGAAAGTTAGCATGATGCAATAAAAATATAATTTTGGAAACTTACACATGTAGCACAGAATTCTTATGTATTTACATACTCACACCCAAACTTTCATATATTTACATATCTAGCACTTTAATGCTTTAGACCTATGTATGAAAATGTGTATTTCAATTTTAAAAAGTGGTAATAGTGCTATTATTTATGTGATAATAAAGATTTGAGTGTTGTGTGTGTGAATATGAAAGTTTAGTTGTGAGATATGTAAATTCATAAGAATTGTGGGCAATGTATGCAAATGTCCCATATAATTTTTACTTGCTGCAAATTTTAAAACTAAACAAAAGAGATCACGAGAATAACCTCTAAATCCTTCGCAGGAAGCTTGGAAAGAACTTCAGCACTCTCTTCATAGTACTTCAGAGCCGATGCAGTGTTCCCCAAAGCTCGGCTAAGAGAAAACAATTGGAGGTATAAGTGAGCACATTATGATAGAAACATGTGCGAGATGTTTCAACTTTCATAAGAAAGAAATAAGCAAATCAAAGAAAAAAAATAAGGGGCATTTACATACATACATCCAATTCTTATGTATTTACATATCTAGCAGGTTTTTTTTTATGTCTTACATTTATACCACCTAAATCTTTCATATCACATAAAAAATACAACTATTTTTACTTTCAAAAACTGAATACACCTCTTCAAGCATAGATAAGGTGGTATATATGTAAAAATGAGAGTTTGGATGCTTGATAAGTAAATACGTAAGAATTGAGTGATATGTCTGCAAATTTTCCAAAAAAATAATGTGTAAAACTTAAATAAATGGCGGTTCCCCCAACTCAACTATGAGGAACTGGTTGGGTGTGTATGTATGGGAATACATTCACAGATACATCATCAAAAATTAAATATTTCAACAAGTGGCCATACTGAAAATTCATAATGCCGACCGCAAATAGTTCAGATAATGTCAATAATGATGAGGATGATAATTGGAAGCAGCAATATGTTCATACATGTAAACAAAATTAAAGATCGATGTATTTGCTTCATTGTTCAATGGCCTAATTTTCAATGTTGGTATACCGTACGCAAAATATAAAGATTTATGGTTGTATTCTGAATCAAATTAGTCTTTGTTAGAGTGGATATCTGCAGTAATTCTCCTCCTTATCTCCTTGTCAGCTAACAAAGATGTTGAAGCTTTGTGAAGCATGAAACTTATCCATGGCTCACTTCCTATCTAAAACTATATTCTATGAAATATTTTGACGTGTATTCCTGTAACACGAGCAAGACAATAAAATCTAGGAAGATTTATATGCATACCACTCAATTCATTTGTATTTACATATCTAACACTATAAACTTTAATTTTTTACATACATGCCACCATCCCTATGCATGAAAGGTGCATTGCACTTTTTTAAAAGTGAAAATGGTGGTATGTCTTATGTGATATGAAAGACTTGGGTGGTTTAAATGTGATATTTAAAGTTTAGACGTTTGATGTGTAAATACATAAGAATAGGGCGGTATGCATGCAAATACCCCTAAAATCTTCTGATCTTGTATGTACGAGGATTAATCTCTACACCGCATATATTTATGCCTTCCGTGACCATAAGATTTTATATGAGAGGATCAAAGAAAAGATGATAGTCCAAGGAGTAGTTGCAAGAGGTTAAGCGAACAGAAAATTGACAATGAATTAAGTTAAGGGATGAACAGGAACGAAGTAAAAACAGTTGAGAAAATTTGTGTTCAGTTGAAAGCTAATTCACACACGACAACCTTCTATATTCCAGTAAACACAGTCCTCCATCGGAATTCTACACACTCGTATCTATGTGTACTATTGTTTCCTGAGCCAACCTTAACTATTTGATGAAGTTGCCAGGGAATAGAAATCTCTTGTGAGCCCCATGATATAAGAGATTAATGAGTGATACATGGTTATTGTTAGTTAGACCGGCATATTACATGAAACTAACGTTAATGAAGTTCTTTATTTATATTAAAAGGATATTTGAATTGTGAAAATTAGGAGTTTTACAAAATGCGCAAATTCTGCACAATTGTCAAACTAAGAGAGACTGATAGGTCCAATTAAAGGGGCTGAACAGCTCCAACCACTATGAAGTGTGGACAGAGACATGAGGCGCATATACGACATGAAATGGATACAATAGCTCAGCCTAGTGTTGACTAAAAAAAATAATAATAATAATTAAAATTATTGATATTTTAATTAGATTTAATTAAGTTAATAAATATTAAGTTAAATTTTGAGCCTCACGTAATCCTGTAACTGTTCCCACTCCGCTTTTGGCTCATAACTCACGGAACAAAGCCTCTTAGGGACTTCCTCATTGTTCGTTTCCTCCTCCCTTGAGTGGAAATCTTCTCAGTTATTCTCGCAGCACAGTGGATGAGTTGGACAACCAAAAACATCTACGGGGATCATAGCATACAAGACTTCAAAAGCTTCTTCAAATGCCTCCAGAGCATTGTATTGTTACTGTGGACTATAATGTTCTATGTTTACTTCGCGACAGACACATACCTATGGGGATAATCTTACAAGTGTCGAAGAAATAGAACAGAGAACTGTGATTTTTTTAGGTCGATAGATCAGTCTGAGGATTCCACCGCCCATAGTTATCACGTGTGGAGAGTTTCATTAAAGGGATTATCACATGACATTAATCAACTGCACTTTAAAAATAATATTAATTATTATTTTAATAGTTTTTTTTTTAATTTTGATTGTTATGTTTTCTATGTTTTGTGAGGTCTTAATTTTTATTTTGTTCACTTTTAAGTTGTATATTTGTTTTTAAGAAAGAAATGTGCAAGCATGACAGATTCTGTTATAAATAACACAATATTGCAGGGGCAAAAAGAACATTTGTTCATAAACAACTACTACATGGCTGTTGCACAACTGAAAAAAATAAACATACACAGTTTTTCCGCAGAAACTTCTGCATAGCAGCTTCTGCACAGCAGCTTATAAATAAGTTGCAGCTGCTCCAAACAAACACTTAGTCGAATAAATGATCTTAACGTAGATGTTCTATTAAAATTTCTTTAGTGTTCGATCCACCCCATTTTTGTTTTCCAAAAAGAAAAAAAAAAATCCTACAACCCAAGCTTAAAGTCCCAAATCTTAAGTTTTGGGTCCTCCAAATTCGTGAATTCTTTAGTGTTTCGTTTAGCTACCAATAAGTTATTTGTGCTTCTAAAGCTATTTGTGTTGGGCTATGCATTGAACATTAAGCACATTTATGAGATTTGATTTCTTAATTACTTGTATTTCAAGCTTCATTTATCTTAATAGCCTTTCATATTAGTAATAAGAGTAATTGCATTTGTGGGTGTAGGTTATAAGAAAATTCTTGCTATAATATTTAAAATGTAATTAGCATTCTCAACGAGGGAAACATGAGAGCCTAGGAATGTCCAAGTGTGGTAGATTTCTATTTAGTTGAACTCTGTCATTGTCAGCAAGTCTTGGATGTGAAAAGTGAAGGAGTGCATTAGGTAGTTGACAACCAACGTAATTTTTTTCGAAAAATAGTGACATGAATCCTTTTAATCATTGTGTAAACGCTAGCGCGTCCGCTGGAAGCGACGCTATATGGTCTTAATATAGTTAAAAGTGTGAAAAGACGCTACACCGACACCTGAATGTAGTGTCAAATAAGCAGGAATTCCCACGTTATGGACAAATGTATGTAAAGAAGTTAGTCCATAATACTAATATTAGGATAAGACATTAAAATATAGGTACTCTCACAAGTAAATTATGATTCATAGAAAAATAAATATTTTATATATTCGAGAAACTAAATGAGTTTGGGAAAATGTTAAGGAGATTGATAACTTAAGGTTTAACCTTTGGCATTCAGGTAAGAGGCGCACTAGAAATGGTGTAGGTGTTATTATAGATAAGAGTTTGAAAAATAATGTTGTAAAAATTAATAGAATTGGAAGAATTATAGCCCTTAAGATTATTGTTGATATTAAATTTTTAATATTATAAGTGCTTATACTCCTCAAACAGGTTTAGATATAAGTTCTGAAAAAATTTTTGGGATGATCTAGAAGACTTAATACAAATAATATCTCTTGAAGAATGAATTTGTATTAGAGGAGATTTAAATGAACATGTCGATACTGATAAAAGATTTTAGAAATATTCATAGTGGCTATAATTTTGGAGTGTTTAATGAGAAAGGTAAAGCTATATTAGATTTTGTTTTAACGTATGATTTTGTTATTGCAAAGATTTTATTCAAGAAAAGAGATGAACATATTATTACTTATAAGAAAACGAGATAGTCAAGAATGTAAAGTTGTAAGATCATTCCAAACGAGGATTTAAGTACTCAACATCGCTTATTAATTCTGTATTTTAAGATGAAAAGTTCTAAAATAAAGAATACTAGAAATTAAGCACCTAAAATACACAAATATATTTATTTTTATGAGTAAACTTCAAGATTTCAAAATTTGGGATATTCATGAATAAACAAATTTTATGTAGGATAAAGTAACACAAAATTAAATAAGTGGCAAAATATGTATTTGAAAAATCAAAACGAAAAGTTTCTATAAATAAAAATAGTTGACGGTGAAAAAATAATGTGCAATAAAAGATAAAATATAAGAAGCTACGTTATAAAAATTAGTTTAAATGTAAAACTTCTAGAACTGAGAAAAATATAAAATGACCCGTAGGGAGTCCAAGTGAACAATCTGTGAAGCTTTCTGCTTTTAGTGATCTTTATAATAGATTGAAAACTAAAAAAATGAAAAATATATGTATAAACTAGGCCAAACAAAAAAGAAGAAAAGTAAAGATTTAACTGAGTAAAGTTAATTAAAGTTGAAATCAAAAGGTGTTTTTCTTAGAAAAATATTCAACATAAGTAGGTGAGTTATTTTGATAAACTTTTCAATTCAATAAAGTTTCTGAAAATACTATCGATCTTAGTGATCTTAATATCGTTAATAATAATAGAATGTTTCATTTTTACCGTCACATTAGTAAAAAAGAAGTTGAAGAGGTTTTAAAGAAAACCAATGGTAGAAAGTATGTAGGATCTAATGATATCCTAATTGAAGTGTGAAAATATTTAGGAGATTTGGGAGTTTCTTGGCTTATTAAACTCTTTAATATTATTTTAAAAACTAAAAAGATGTCTGAAGAGTGGAGGAAGAGTATTTTGGTCTCCATTTTTACGAATAAAAGGGATTGCAAAAGAGAGTGCAAATCATAGCAGAATCAAATTAATGTGTCGTACTTTAAAATTATGGGAGAGGATAATTAAACAAAGGTTAAGACATATTACAAAGATTTCTCATAATCAGTTTGTATTTATGTCGGACAGATCTACTATGGAAGCTATACAATTATTGAGAGGTTTGATAGACAAGAACAGAGAGAAAAATGAGGATCTACAAATGATTTTTATTGATTTAGAAAAAGCTTACGATAAGGTCCCAAGAGATATCCTTTCTAGAGTTTTAGAGAAGAAAGGTGTTGATATGGCTTACATTCAAGTCATTAAAGATATGTAAACTAGAGTTGTTATTTATGCTCGAACAGAAGGATGATTGATCATAGATTTTCCTATTTCAGTTGGATTACATCAGAGATCGGCTTTAAGCTCATATCTTTTTGTTTTAGTTATGGATGCTCTTACTGGACATTGTCAGGATGTAACTTCGTGTATATTTTTCGCTAATTATGTCCTTTTTGTGGATAAGGCTAGAGAAAAAGCTCAGAAAAAACTTGAATAATGGAGGTCTACAGTGGAGTCTAAAGGCCTTCATGGAGTCTAAAGGCCTTCATTTAGAGGCCTTCATTTAGGTAGAACTAAAATTGAATACATTGAATGTAATTTTAGTAGCAGTAGCTCCAGTGACAGAGTTATAACTAAGTGTAACTATGGGTGATCAAATTATTAAAAAGTGTGAACGTTTTAGATATCTCAAGTATATTGTTCAAAGTGATGGTGAAATAGATGAGGATGTTATTAGTCAAATTCAAGTTGATTGGTTGAAGTGGATGAATGCTTCGGGAATATTGTTCGATGTATAGTACCGCTTAGCCTAAAAGGAAAATTTAGAAGATCGTGCTGAGATCTTCAATGCTCTATGGGACAAAATGTTTGCCTTTAAAAGAAAAGCATAAACTAAGCTAAGTGTTGCTGAGATGAGAAAGCTTAGGTAGATGAGTGGCTTTACACTTAGACACAACATGTGAAATGAATATATTCGTGATAATATTGGTGTAGCTCCAGTGGCGGATAAAATTAGAGAGAGTCGTCTTACATGGTTTGGTCACATTAAAATTCGACCATCTGATGATCCGGTTAGGAGAGTAGATGTATTAAATTTGACTTATGTTAACAAAGGCAGAGGTAAACCTAGAAAGAATTGGGCATATTGTATAAAAAATAATTTTAATGGGCATATTGTATAAAAAATTTTAATTTATTAAAATTAAATAAAAATATGACACTAAATAGGACGCAATGGAGAAAAAACAATTATGTAGCCGACCCCATTTAGTGGGGTAAAGGCTTGTTGTTGTTGTTGTATTCTATAGGTATCCAAATGCTTGCTATTTTGAATTTAGTATGTGAAAGATAGCGTAAGAATATACATGCATTCGAGAACATTCTGAAATGGCCTACTGTTTTGATAATCTATTTGTTTTCGTCAAAACTACATATTAAGTACGAGATTATCTATAAGATTCCACAATTATTCAAAGTCAAGTATAACATATATGTTAAACTACATTTTTAATAATAGTAATGGTATAAAAATTTGTTGTTGTTGTCAAGGAATAAGTTTAATATGTGATGAGCCACGGTCGATGTTAAACTCATATTAAGTACACACACACTCATTTTCCTCTCCATAAAACAAATAAGCATAAATGCCCTATAAGCATGTGAAACTATAAAACCAAATTAAGTTAAGTCTTAAGTAAAGGTTGTACGCAAATAAAAAAAAAAAATTGCATATATGAACTATTCTCCATTCCAAAGGAAATACCAAAGTAGACGCCCAATAAAAAAAATAATAAATTCTAGTTTTAAAAAGCCAGACCAGCAGTCCCCCATCATCCCAAGGACAGCCCCAAGCTGCGAGCAGAGTTCTTGGGTGTTCCCTTGCGTTTGTAGTTGCTCACGTATATCTTCAGCACAGATATTAAGCCTTGATTGAGCACTTTCTAAATTCTTTGCATGAAAAGCCTGAAAGAAACCGCCAAATCAACTAACATAAATGTACCAGAAAAAAATTAAACAGATTTTCTAGAAAACTCCAAAAACAAGATAAAAATTGTCTCTTGCAGACTCACCCTCATAGCTTGTTGCACCAAAAAAGCACCTCTTTCCATAGAAACATCACCATATATGACATTATTCTGCTCATTTCCTACTTCCTTGGAATCTTCACTCACTTGAAAGCGCTTGATTCTAGCATGACCATCAATAAATTTATCAACTGTAGTCTGAAGATCATCGTCAGGCTCAATTTTCTCAATGTCAGCGCCGCATAAAGGACAGTCCTTAAACCGTGATACGCATACCCTAAGATAAATGTAGAGCATAAAAACAGTTGAAAAAATCATTTTAACCGAACAAAAACTCTGAACAAGGCTACAAATCCTAGCAATACCCACTTGCAAAATTTGTGGGCACAGGGCACACATTTGCTACTTTCATAAAGTAAGGCCCGGCACAACATACAACTCAGAGGACCAAGCTTGAATGTCTCTGAATCATATCCAAAGGGGCATTTTGGCGATATTGTTCCCGAATCCTTATGCTCCTCATTTTCACCTCCATTCCTTGCTTGTTGGACAGTTTGGTTGTCAATCTTCATGGGGCAAATGCCAGCAGAAGATGATTTGGAAAATGGGCAACCAGAACTCATATTTCTCTATCGTCTACCATATCAAGAAACAAACCATGGTTAGTTTAAGCTTCAATAGGAGACACTTCAGGATTTAATTCGTGAGTTTAAGTACTAAAATTTCAAAATCTTCACCCGATACTCAAGAAGCATTGTATTTGATATCACATTTCAAATGCAAAATAAAAATTCGCATCATGATAATAACACAGACGGAGGTAATGATTTTAAGTTAATGGCCAAATATAATTGCTTGGAGCAAGTTTTTTAAACATATAAAAAGAAAAAAAAAATTGGATTCCTATAAAAACATTCAGACAGCACTGTTAAGAACTTAACGCGAACAGCTGCACAGCAAAAATATGCATTTCTCACCATTTTCGCCTACCAGCCTAATTCAATGTCGGTTTAAATCTATCAGGAACTAGACGCAGTGAAATCATACGAAGTATTATGCCATAATTTGTAATGAATCTAAAAGTCGTCCACCTTAAATGAAGAGAAACATCTAATCCTACAAGTAAAATCTCCAATCTCCATCTCCATCCTAACAAAAAAATATCCAAAATCCCCAACCGAAAATTTCATTGCACCGGTTCCCTCAACAATAGAAGCGTTCGGAACGTGGATCCATGTGCTGTAACGCTCGAGAGAGAAGATAGAAATAGAGAGAGGAGATAGATATAGAGATAGAGAGAGAGATGATGTACCGACTTCGGTCGCCGGAGAATCGCCGGAAAAGGAAGGGTCTAGGGTTTGGCGTCCGCCTGTATCAGAGATCGAGATACTGAGCAATGCTAATCGCAAATTATTTCGCCAGTTGGCGGGTCCTTCTCATCTCAATCTGATCACATAATCAATATATAAATTAATTAAATATAACATAAATAACAAAATAATAATATAATAAATAAATAAATTAATTAATTAATTATATATA